CGGGGTTGCGGGGCCGGCGCCCCGGGTGGTTGGTGCATGCGGGGCGGGGCGGTCGCCGGGCCGGCCGAGGCGAAGATGGAAGGCTTGACGCTGAGCGACGCCGAGCAGAAATACTACTCGGATCTCTTCTCCTACTGCGACATCGAGAGCACCAAGAAGGTGGTGGTCAACGGGAGGGTGCTCGAGCTGTTCCGGGCCGCGCAGCTGCCCAACGACGTGGTCCTCCAGGTACCTTAGCGCCGCGTCCTCCTCCACCACCCCCCACCCCCCCTTCACCCTCCCCAACCTTCCCCAACCTCCCCCCCCCCGGGTGGCGCGGGCCTCGGGCAGCGGGAGCAAGAGCGGGCGATGTTTCCAGAAGGGCAGGTTTCCTCCACCACCACCACCACCACCACCACCACCCACCCCCTGCCCCGGGAGGCTCGCCCGCTGCGGGCCGAGGCCGCAGGTGCGGGTGCGAGCGGGAGCGCGGGGACTCCTGGAGGGGGAGGGGGGTCTCTCGATCGGGGTGAGGGTAGGGGTGCGGGGGGGGGGTGTCTGCGGGAGCCTGAGCCTGCATCTCACCCCACCACCACCACCACCACCACCACACACACACAGTGGTCAGCCCGTGCACGGGTAGAGCAACTTCCCAGCAAGGCTCTCGGGTTGTAAATGTGTGGGGCGCCGAGAGCTCCTCCTGGTTATGTATTCCCATATGCACACAGCTTTTCGGATCCTGCACAATAGTAAAGTTGGGAGTCTAGGCAGGCAAGATGCCATTTGGGTTCTTGAGTGAGCCGAACAGACCCGATGAAGTGAGTGGTTTTTGTTTTTGTTTTTTTTTAAAGACATAAAGGTATCCAAGAAGCAGGTTGATTTTTGTGTGTGTATGTGTGTGTGTGTTTGTTTTGTTTATTTTTAAGGAAGCTGTGTTCTTAGGGAGACTTAAGAAATTTTGAACTTCTGGCTAATACTTGGCGTGTAGATGTGAAGAGAACTTGTCGGTCGTAGGACTGACCGATGTCCGGTGGGCAGTATCTTCCAGTGGGCGTTCGGTAGTAGTTGGTGGATCTTGTGGGTTTGGTTTGGGATCTGTTGAGCAGCTGGAATTGAAATGTGTAGTTCTACCTTGCAGCAGCAGTGAGCACGGCGCATGTAACCTTCTTTGTCGTCTGGTTTTACAGGAGACTTCATCGAAGTCCCTATCTAATATTTGTGAGGAGCGTTAACGCTGCTATTAATGATTCATAACTGCTGGTAGTTAAGAGCCTATTTAAACTGCCTGTCAGGAACCGTTTTAAGTTTTCACCTAATATTGATCCAAGCCAGTTACCCGAATCTCCAAACACATGGGTATAAGGTAGTGGAAGCAGAATATTGGGCCAGAGGTTTTATTTTAATGTTTGGAGACAGCTTCTTGCCCTATAGCTCAGGCTTGCCTTGAACTCGGGACCTGGCTGCTCCCCCAGCTGCTTAAGTGCTAGGATTATAGGTGTGGGCTGGGCCAGGAGTCCCCAGGCTTTGACTGTAGTCTCCTGTTAAATAGAAGTGTGACCCTGGGCCAGCACTTTGCCTCTTTAGCCTTGAGTTCTTGGAGGCCTGTTGTAGAGGAAAGTCAGTTTTCTTCTAGCAAAAATCCTGGGCTATATAAAAATTTCTGCACACACCTCGGATCTAGAAGTTGTGCCTCCTGTGCTGGGGACTGAGTTCTCGCCTTTTGCTTTTGTTTCGTACTGTCTTTTTTAAACTCGGGGGTGTGGTGGGAAAAGATAGCAGAGAAGGATGAGTGAGTCTCAGATCCACACTGCTGAGAAGAGCCACATGGTGACTATTTTAGGCTTTAGCAGCTAGGTAGATTGTATTGTGTATTCATTTTTTTTTTTTTAATGGCCCTTTCACAATGTGGAAACCAGTTTTAGCTCGGGATTCACACAAAAGAGCTTGTATTGCTTATGGATTAATGGTGGTATTGTAGGGCTAGTGTCTGATGGATATGGTACAGAACTTACGAGGTTTGGCCAAAACATGCTCATTAATTATTCTGCTCTTTTTGGGGAAATAAAACACACCTTTAAGGGCTTAAGATAAAGGAGAAACTGCCCAAACTCTATTTTGGGTTATGTCTTTGGGGTACAGGGTTTTGTTTTTTTTTTTGTCATTTTATTGGTGCACAAGGCTTTAGGATGTTTAAATGGACCGTTTAGGGCATACAAGTTAGCATCCATTAACCTCCAGCTGAGATATGTTCAGTTAAATCCAACTTATTTTTTATGTTTTACTCAATTGTATTAGTATTTGAAAATAAATTTCTATTGTCTTCATGCATAGACGGTTTAAATAGCTTAAATATTTGGGATTCAGTTACAAGCTGGAAACTGTTGGAATTCCCTGAAGCAAGACTTTCACAGTAGTATGTTCAGGTTGAGTATCCCTGTTCAGAACATCTGTACTCCTAAATTAAAAACTTTGAGCGCCAAAATAACACAAGTTAGAAAATTACACACCATGAAACTTTTCTGTGCAGAATTATCATTTTTTAAAATTTCCTGTCAAACTGTGTGAAAATGGTGTATTTGAGACATAAATGAGCTCTCTTTAAGCTTGGGTCCCACCCCAAAGAGCTCTCATTGTGTACACAAACATTCCAAAACCTGAAGGAAAAAAAAAAAAGAAACTGAAAACACTTTAGTCTCAAGCATCACTGATAAGGGACACCCAACCTGAACTGAATAGCAATCTGGAATACTTAAATTTTGGCCTACGACCTAGAAATGTGAGATGAAGGGGGAATGCAGGCCGAGTCTGTCTCTGAAAGGAGTTTTGAGATTGTCTGAAAACAGCCCTCCATTGCTTTCTAGTGAGGATAATTTGGGACAGCTCCCTCCCATAGAAAGAGAGTTCTGTACCCTTTGCTGAGCGGGGTAATCCAGGGAAGCAGACGCAGCACACAGGTGCTCTGGAGGGCTTTAAATCACGGGGCCGCTCATGTGTAAAGACAAGGATACCTGGGAGAGGTGCATTGTGTTCAGCACAAAGGAGATTTAGACAGGACACAATTCAGGGGGACTTTAAGTTGGGGCGGGGAGGGAAAATGGGCTTCCAAGCAAGGGAAAGAATATGACCAAAGGCGGACCACAGTAGAGCCTTTTCAAGGACTAATAGGTAGTAGGATTTTACCTAAGCTAAAGTATATTTGGAGATAAACAGTTAGAAAGAGGTCATATAACTAAGGACCGAAGGCAGGAGATTTCATACATATTTCAGTAGGCAGTGGAGAGGCACTGGATATGTTTGGCTTTGAATGGTAGTGATATTAGAGGGTAGCGAGGGAGGTGCCTGCAGAGACATCTGGCGTGGGTGCTGGGTAGTGGACATCCAGCCGGAGTGACAGAAGTAGAACGGAAAAATCAGGGTGAGGTGGATTTCTGCAGGGCAGCTGGGTAGGTAGCCTTACTGTGCTATGCAAAGTGCCTTGTGGGTAATACTTAATTGAGTCCAGATTATCAAGGCTGGGTGGGAGCTTTGAACTAGGTGTGAAGGGTATTTGAAATAAGTGATTACTAAAAGCAGTGCTCTAGGAGGCATTTGCCAGTGATACAGCAGAGGAAAGCAACTGAAGGCTGGTTATCTTCGGGGCTGATTTTGTATCAAATAGGAAATGGTGAGGAACTGGGCCAGGAGCACTCAAAGCATGGGGTCAGGAGGCTGGTGACGTGGTTCCATGGGTAATGGCAGTCGCTGCCAAACCTCATGACCTGCATTTGATCCCCAGGACCCACATGGTGGAAGGGGAAAAAAACTGACTCCCATAAGTTGTCTTCTAACTTCCCAAGATGAGTTATGGTATATGCCTCACACTCCCCATAAAGTATTTTAAAGTAGTAAAACGTTTAAAAACAACAAAACCAAAAAACCATGGAGTGAGAGGGGCCAGTGTATGTGGGAGTGGTTTCTATTCTCTCAGGCCATTTGTCAGTGTCTAAAATGTAGAGGGGATGGTTTGACTGACATGTAGTGGGTAGAGGCTGGAGATAGTATTTAATAGCCCAGAGCACACAGGACAACCTGTGTAACAAGAAGTAGCCTGCTCAAAATGTCAGTATTGCGGAGATTTGAGACCTGACCTGGGCTCTGGCAGTGGGACAGGAAGTGAGTGTGGAGTTGTAGGTGTTCTAAAGGCAAACTTGGTAAGTATTATTATTAATCATTTGGCATAATTTGGATGGGAGAGAAGGTGGCAAGGATTCCTCACTTTTGGACATCGCTCTAATTAGAAAAGGGGCAGGAGAAGGGCCTCGAGTCATAAAGAGGAGTGGTAGGGACTGCTGTGTGATTGTTAATAGGCGTTTGGGGATAGGGCTGACCTTCAACAAGTAGAAACGTATTTTATTTATGATGTGTGTTGGTTCTGCTCCCATGTTGAAGGCCTCTTCCTCACCTATGTTGAGGGCCGGGAGCAGGCCTTGATTGGTCCAGTGTTTTCAACATTTGTTAATAAAGTCACGAGAGGGCTGAGTCATCTGGAGAAACGAGGGTAGAGAATAATGAACAGAGGGCCGAGAGCTGCAGGAGGCAGGGCTGGCCGTTACTGAGTGCCCAGTGGGCTCCTTTGACCAG